ACCCCCAGTCAATCTGCCATTCAAGAGGAATATTACATAGTGTTTATCTTACTCAAAACACCACCACTCACCACCCAACCAGGAATAACCAGAAAGCTCCTAGAAAGTTTACAAGGACTTGTGTTACAGAGAATTCTATCTCACACTACCTTACTTTCTCTATCTACAGATATCCCCCTCTTGCTCACACTTCACGTATATAGCCCTCTATCCTATTTACGGATAAAGGAATGTAGAGATTTACAAGAAAATACATCTAATATTCAGTTACAACAACTACCAGAAAATTAGTTAGAACCAAAGGCTCCTAACTGATTTTCTAACTCATTAACTAATCCAACTAATGAGTTTAATAACCGAATCAAGAATCAATATTTTCTCTACAGGCAATAATGTCTGCTATATTACCTAGGATAATCCTGCAATCAACGTTTTGGCTGTGGAAGGGGAAAAAGAAAAACAAGAACTCTAGGCGAACATATATAAGAATCCTGGTGAGGGTTCTTTTCCTAAAGGTTTGACTTTCACAGTTTTAGACAGGAAGAGAAAAGAAACTAAAATAATGTCTCGTCTAGTGTAGTGTCGATCGAGCTCACTGCGTAAGTAATATGTCTTAGCGATCAGAATAACGTGTGCTAACATTATATTGATGTTAAGTCAGTGAGTTTAAATTACATGAACGGTAAGTTGGAAGTTTGAATCTGAACATCATTTTTTAGTATATTTGGTTTGGTTTTTCTAACAGTTGGACCATTTCCATGAGTAAGATTTCAGAAAATTCTTTTATGTACACCTTTGATCCCATCTAAATCAACTATTTTTGCATTTCTCCACTCGCTTACTTGTTCCTTATCCCTTTGGCAACTCATGCTCCAAACATAACTTATCCCTTAAAGCTCTTATCAAGATTACACAAGAATCATGATTTACACGTGGAAATGCTGTTTTTAAAATAAGATCATGTATAAAAAATACCGTCGTCCTCTTTTCTTATCTGAAAACTGCCTTTTCAAAGTGTACTCATGAAGAGAATTACTCTGCTTTAATATAGCTGTTAAGTACTTTTTTTTTTTTAACAGCTATCAAAAGGAATCAACATTGGATTAACAAAAATAAAGATTACAAATAAGCAATGTAAGCTGAATTTCACTACACAAGAGGCCATTACAAAACTGAATCCCTCTTCCAAGCTCCATTTTCGTGGCAGGGTCCATTCCAAGTTTTGTAACCTTGCTAGCAGTATCACGATCAAACAGTTGACGAGAAATTTGGACACAAGGTCTCAATTTGTCAATCCAACAAACTGGATAAGAAAAAAGTCAAAAATTTGTTATCTTACACAATTCTGTTGAGTAGTGTGTAGCAAGCATTCCTCGCAACTCCAGGCCAATCAAGAAATCTTTTTAGGCAGTTTGAAATCAGAGCACTTTCTCTGTTCCATTAACAATGATGAAGAAATCCCAAGCATAGAGGTGCCTAGATGAAATTCCAAAACATAATCTTCCAATTGATAACCCCCAATAACAAATGGAGCCCTTTGATTCAATCCTCCATCCAAGAAACCTAAACACATAACTTCATCACTAACTTGCACCATTGAATTCCTCCCATAGATCCTCCACTTCACCATCTCACTTTGCAAAACAAGATCAATAATTGGCACATTTGGCCCCATTCTTGAATTTTCAACCCCTTTTGAACGAAAACATACCCCAAATGGTGCCACAGGAGCCACACTTGATATGTTCAAGGAAGTGGCAGCCTTAATATAAGCATCAACAAATGTGCCATAAATTTTGCTCTGCATAGTGGTGTAAGGTACAGTTGTGCTTATTTTTGCCCCTCCAATATTTTCTTGATTCATAGACAATTTCTTACCAGAAATCTTGATGGACTTAACATTAATCTTGTACTCTTCTCCTGCCCCACTTGGCTTGGAAATCAAGGGTGTATAAACCATTGATCTTGAAATCTCCCCACCCAAAAGTGACACATCAGAACTCTCAGCCAATGAAATTAAACCATCTGATGAGGATAAACACAGAGAAAATCTCCTCTGAAAAAATCCAAATGTACCAGCAATTTGTGTTGGCAGTGAAATTCTTGTGTTTCCTAACCCTAAAATCCCTTTTGCACCATTGGCGATGCCTTCTAGTGACAATTTTGGTACACATGAAAACAAGAAGTTATCAATGGAGGCCATAAAACCTGAATTCACCCCATCTTCAAACTCCATAGAAATTCTATCTTGAGCCAAATTTCCTGATGTAACCATTCTTGAAATGGGGTTTTCTGATTGAAGAGTACAACTCTTGGTGCCAAAAGACATGGTACAAGCACTGGATTTTGCCATTGAACACTCAATTGAGCAACTTTTTATGGGATTTTGAGATTTAGACAGAGGATTATAAGCACAATCAACCCACAAATATGGACCATTAACATCAACCACAAGCTTAACTGGGGCAAGTTTTTCACCCAGTAAAACTTGAGTCACATACTGAAGAGTTAAAGGATCTTTTGACACTGGAATAATAGCAGCTTTGGGTAATACGGGTTCTTGAGAAACAGAAAAATTAAAGAGGAAAATGAGTGAAAAAACAAGAAAGAAATGTACAGAGCAAGCCATGAAAGAAAAAGCGAGGAAGACAGGTAGATCTGAATGCAATTTTCTTGTGTTTGTCGCGGAGGGTCGCCGCGAGGTAGCTAATTTTTATAGTACAAATTCTTCGACTAACGAGGTCTTTTTTTAACAAAAATAATTGAACCTCTATATGGATAAGATCTTAGGTTTTCTTCATCTTTGCTGACTAGATTTTTAAGCTTTTGTATTTGAATAAGTACATTAATTTTTCAGAAATTAAAACATATTATTATCATATTTTGATTGATAATTGTGCTGAGAAAATGGAGTTGGTGTGCTGACTTCATACTTGATAAGTACGAATAAAAGTATAGTCGAATAAAAATAAAAGAAGTTTTTTGGATTAGACTACGATATAAACATATTAAAGAAGGAAAATGTAATATTACCTACTATTAATGATATAATTAAGAAAAAATTGCATAAGCAGTCCTTAACCTTTGCAACTTTTGCAGAATTTACCCCAACCTTCAATTGTGCTAAAGAAAGTCCTCGACCTTTAAAAAATATGCATTTAAAGTCCAAATGGATGGAATCCATTCACTTTTCTGTTAGTTGACCAAGAAAATGATTTAAACCACATTATTAATTATTTCTATAAAGATAAAATGATAACTTTATCTTTTTTCATATAAAAATAATTAAAATAATTAAATAAAAAAATAAAAAAACTCCACAACAACCCCATCCCCATCCAAACCTCCACCCCAAAACCCAACCCTGGCTACCTATCGCCATCCAAATTCACCTACTGTCGTCGCCATCGCTAGAGATGACAATGGTTCGGTTTGGGGTCGGTTCGGCCAAAATCATCACCGAACCACCAATTTTTTGGTCATACCATAATCGCACCATAACCACGAAAGTTGGTTTGGTTCGGTTCGTATCTCAGTTCGGGTCGTTAATAATCACAAAAATAATTTATTTTTAATTGGTCCATCCGTCGAATAAAAAGAAAAATGTATGAAAAAGTCAATGAAAACAAAAACATGATACTAAGTCAATGTAGCAAACAACATTTCAAATGAAAATGCAAAAAATATCTCAATTCTCAAATGCAAAATCCAAATTAAACAAACAATATTCAATAACTCAAAAAGCTCCAACCTCAATTTATATTCAATTTTCATTCTTTTCCACAACTCTCACTAGCATACGCCAAAACTCAAAGTTGATTCCTATATAGTATATAAGAAATGTAAGTAGAGTAATAAATTAATAATCCATAATGTTCTTAACTGAAAATTTAAACAAAAAAATATACCTCTTCGTCAACATCCTCGTTACCAAACTTTGGTTTCTGTAATTAAAGAATTCAAAATTTTGTTTATGTGTTGTTTAGGCCAAAAGTCATCAAAGAGGAGAGAAATTAGAGTCATTTGTCTCTAAAGCGGCCACCAATTGTAAAAAACTGAAAATTTTGGATTTATTTTGGTCAAATCTTGTGCGAAATTCACAATAAATTCAAATAGACAAATACAAATTATCAAAAAAGAAGATGAAAAGCTCATCAGTGGCAGAAGCCTGAAGGTCGAAGGAGAAGAAAATAATACAAACGGGCGGAGGCGGAAGAGACGACAGTCGGCACTCGACAGACCCAGAAGGCAGGAGTTGAGATTCCAATTTTCCAATAAAATGTTTGTGCCTTTGTGTTAGACTGTTAGGGTTCAGGGTTGGGTACTTGGGTTTAAATTTAATTTGTTAATGACCAGAAATTTTGGGCCAAAGAAATTAAGTAGTTAACATAGAAAAAATCAAAAAATTATGGAAAGCCCAATTATTATTAATTTATTATTTTTTCTAATGGTTAGTCAGTTCGGTTCGGGACAATGACGTAAATACCATATCCGCCCTGCCCCGAACCGGTTCATTAAAATCAAATATCATATCCGCCCCATTACACCATCGATTTGATTTTTTTCGCCCCATTAGGTTCGGTTAACCGCGATTTTCGATTTTGAGGGTTCGAATTGCCATCCCTAGCCATTGCCGTTGAATCTACAACCTCCACCACCGCTGCTACCCTTTTCTTTACTGCCAAATGGAACCTAAATGAGAAATCAAATTCGAAGCCGCCAATACCTTGCTTCAAAATCAAAGCCATCACTATCACCAATTAAAACGGCAAGCTATTACCCATCTGCATATGAAAATAACTCCAAGTTCTGACCATCAACCATTATCGAGTTCAATTTGCGGTTGTCGTTCTGCCATAAACGGCAAGGCATTTCTTCTCTGCTTTTCAAATTTCCTTCGAGACTAGGATGGAATAAGAAGATTTAGGCCTATAGTACTATTAGTTTAGTGGATGTCCTCTGAGTTTGTGGTAGAAGTGTTTGGTGGTTGAGGATTGTAGGAGGAGGTGGACGTGTAGTGATAGTGGTAGTGGTTCTCTCCCCAAATCTGGCTTGCAGGTGCAATTGGAGCTGGCATTCGTCTTTAGATCTAAAATGCATTCAGTCTCCTTGTCGGCTTGGTGATGGTGGTGTGGTGATTCCGTCGCTTGAACTTATTTAGTTTTCTATTTCTATATATTAATGAGGTGAGGTAGCGGTGGTGGCAACGATGACCGATGGTGGCGATAGGCGTAGAGTAATTTTGGTTTTGCGTGGGGGTGGGGTTTGGATAGGATGGGCTAGGAGTGGAAGATGATGCTGATTTTTTATTTAATTATTTTTATATGAAACGATATAAAGTTATCATTTTTCCTTATAGAAATAATTAATAATGTGGTTAAAATATTATTATTATTATTTTATTTTTTTTTGTCAATAATGGAAAAGCGGATAGTTTCCGTTTAGATGGACCCGAACTTCATATATATTAACGATTATGGACCTTGTTGACACAAGACGAAGGTTAGAATAAAATTTAAAAAAAAAAAATTAAAAAAGTTAGGAAGTGTAGCTGCAATTTTCTCTATAATTAATGGAATGCTATTTCGGCATGTGTTATGCATTATTTATTCTTGATCATGACAGGTGAAATGTAAAGCAGATATAGTTGCCACTTACCACCATCTTATCATATACTTTTATCATCCACTTCCTTTGTCCCTTACAACATTATTAGCACAAAAAAATATCCCCAAGCATATTCTTATGCTCATGGGCCAAGTTTTGGGTCAGGCGACCCTGTTCGATGGACAGATATAACATCCAAGCGTGACTTGTGTCAACAACTAGGTTTGGCTCGTGAGTCTCATGGGCCTGATTGAGTCATTCTTGAGTCCATGAGATGGCTCATTAAAGAAAGTAATAAAACGAGCTAAATATGAGTCGACTTATAGGCTCGTGAAAAATTGTGTTTGAATCGACTCATGGCTCATCTTAATATGAGCTCTGGCCGTCCATGGGCTGAGGCCTGCGAGCGCGATGAGTGACTTGGCCCATTTGCCACTCTATATATATATATATATATATATGTTTGTGGTTATAGAGAAAAAAATCTAGATTCATTTGAATGCAAAGTTGGAGTAGAGAATTGAATTGATCTTTGATTAAAGGTATATTTGACCATTTATAATAAGTCTTTAAAAAATAATCTAAAAACAATCAATATTTTGACTCTCTAAGAAAGCTCTCTTAAAAATATTGCCAAGTTGTAGTGACTAAATACTAATTTAATAAACTCGAGATTAATAAAGAAAATTTCTTATAGAAATAAACGATTTCATGTACAGTGATGAACTAAATCGAAGCAGACAATCCAATTAGTTCTAGTTTAGTTCATTTCGATTCTTTTTATGCTTAAAAAATAGTAAATTGTAAAATGTTGTATAAATCTTTTTTCATTTTCACATTTTCTGTCTGTATAAATTTTCTTTGTTTGATGGTTTTTGAAACTAATTATAAGCATAAACAAATGTGAGAACTCAAAATTGTCAACAATATCATTCTCAATTGATTAAGTCTTATAAAATTGAGGATGAGTACTTTTGAATGACTGAAAAATCTATTTTTTTTTTGGTCAAAATTTTGGTTCTAATTGATCTCGTTAAATATTTTGTGTGCAACGAAATGCTATTTCAAAATGTCGTTTGTCAAAAATTTGGATTTTCAATATATTTTAATAAAATTTGATTAAATGTATATGTTTGAAAGTTGTGAATCCCAGTCTTTTTGGTGTCTCCAACCCCATCTTTGTCAATGGATTGTACATCAATGAAATAGGATCACCCACGGTATAAGCAAATCAAACGTGTCCAAATTACTTATCACAACACGCCTCATCACTAAAACTGTAGAAATCTAATAATTGAACCATTAATGTCTACTAAATGATGTTGAAGGCGCGATTTAAATGAAACGATTAACAGAGTATTACAATCAAAATTAGTTAAAAAAAGGTGATTCAAGTCTTGCCAAACACTAAGGAAAAGTGTATATGTGTCGGATCTTTGATTAAGAAATGAATCCGACTTTCAATGTGATGGAGCATATTGAAGACAAGATTTAAATGAATAAATATGAAAATTCTCTAATAACTCAAACAATGAAAATCCCTCAATTCCCATAAATCAAGTGAGGATGGAAAGAGGAAAGATATTCTGTCATATATCAATGAGTTGCACTACACTTACAGAAATTTTGCTTACAAATATTTTACAGAAAAGACACATTGGTGGGATGGGTGATTGATTTTCTGGCATTTTATATCACACATGGGGCCGACACACAGTGAAGATTCTGGTCAGATTCTGTGAACAAAAATCTGTACATGCAGAATTTTCCTATATCAATGGACAGACCATATGCTCATAGCTGCCTTATTATTCTAACAGTTTCTCTCATAAATAGCATAATATTTATTGATTAGATCATCAGTAATACATGTTGAATATTCCAGTATCCCTTCTATACATTCTGAATTAGAAGTTTATATTTTCATTAGGACCATCGAGCATGTTTGGCTAAGCTTAAAATTTTTACTTTTAATTAAATACAAGTAAGTTTTTTATTAGTCAAATAAAAAATAATAAGTTACTTATTTTGACATATATCACAATTCATCACGACCTTACTTTTCTTAATAAGAACATGTAGAAGAAGTTCAAATGGTAGTTACAATTATTAACGGTGAGACAGTACACAGTTTTGAAAACGAAGTACGAAAATCCCACAACATAGGAACATCTCAAAGGTGGGAACATGTCTTGTTCTGGACCAAAAGAGAAGAGCTAAATCGAAGTTGTGACGAGTTTAGATCAAACTCCAAGAGATTATCCTCCATTTGATGTGCGCCTATGACAATTGAGGTTCTTGGATTTGATCCGCCATCCACAAATGCGAGGCACAAAACATTCTTATTCACAGCAAAGATTGAATTGGCACCATATATTTTCCAAGAAACATCATTTCAGGGCAAAACTATTTCAATTATTGGGACAGAAGGGCCAGTTCTCGTGGCAGAAATTGTGGCGGAACTGAAACAAGCTCTGAATGGTGCCAATACAGTGAAGTTTCTGATCTTCATTTCTGATGCCGCCTTCACACAAGCTCTGGTTAAAGGTTTATGGATGGAAGAATGGAGTGTGGTGAAATTTTTTATGGTACTAATTTTGGTGCCTCCAACTCCATCCTTGTCAATTGTGAAGTAGGAACTTTTTGAGAGAGACAGGTTTTCCATGGACTCTAATAGACTGTACATCAATGAAATATTCATCAGACGGTTCATTCTCGGGAGAAATAGGGCCAGTTTGTACATGGTTTATGATAAGAGGTGTTGCCATAAGTGATTTTGACACATTCAACCCCCACCGACGTACACTTTCCCGATCCCTGAGGATAGAAAGCAGCGAGAAAACTTGTCGGATAAACTGAGCCTAGTGGCAACCTCTTTGTGCAAAGAAATCTGACTCCTCGCGAGGCCTAATTGTAGGACAATTTATTACTTTAAATTACCGGATTTTTTATGTTAAATCATCAAGAAATTGAAGAACTATAGCAGAAGCGTACCTGAATCAATCATGGTTATTTGCAATAATTGAATCCTGCGGTATAGTTTTTCAAATCTACATGCAGTCTCCTTTTTCTCTCTGTGATGGGATGCAGTAGAGAATAAATAATACGTACGTGTGATTTAGAGATCATAACCATATTTATATAGCGATGCCCTTTGACCTAATTCGGCCCATCATAGAATTAGGACTTGGACCTGGTCTCTACACATATGTAAATTCACACTTTAATTGGATACATTAAAGCCTAAAATCGAAACCTTATTAGATCACTTTAATTGAGTTTAACCGAATTTGATAGCCTTTAATTTAACATACAATTATTCACACATATAAGCCCATTTATTGATTAAAAAAAAAAACCTTACACTAATATCCCGGTAGTGCTACTAGTTAGACCCTGCAAGGAACCCGATAACGCGCAAGAAAAGGGAAATTGAGGCATCTCCACGATTTTTTTGAGTACAATGTGTCCTCTGTGAAGCCTCCTTAGAATACAATAATACCCTGGAATGGATTGTAAGTAGGGCTGTCAATGGATTGGATTTTGATCTAAATCCGATGAAATTAACGGGAGATGGATTTAAGGTTGCAATCCGATAATTTGATTAAGATCCGAATTCGATAATCCGTTAACTAAATGGAGCAAATATGGATATATGTTGATTCGATCCGATAACAATCCGATCCGATTTATTATAATAATATTATATATTTTAGATATTCTATCATAATTTATTAAACATAATTTTTTCCATTTTGAAACTTATATTATGCTTTACGCATAATTTTCAAATAATAAATAATATTAGATGATAGTATAATATTTTTACTTGAAATATTCAAAGAGGTTTAATTTTTTATTAATTAAAATAAGATAAAAATAACTATAGAAATTTATTTTATAGCATCAAAAACTAATAAGTAATATGTCAAAAAATAATTTACTTTGTTAAAATTGATATTGTTTTTTATTTTAATTTTGTTAAGGCTATGATTTTTAGTGAAAATAAACAAATAAATTAGTAAACACTTAGAATTGACAATTGAGTAGTATCCCACATTGAAATACCATTAAAACATTAAAAGAGAAGTACCCTTTAAAAAATTAGTATCCCACGTAGAAAGATTATTAAAATATTCCAAGAGAAATCTTCTTTAAAAAGAACTAAATGAGCATCACTTGGATGAAAAATTGATTTGGGCCTTCTAGTATATTAGGTGAGCCCATTAAGATAGTTAAAATATTTTTTTTTTTGGGAAAAAATCGGTGGAAAAAAATTTGGATCGGATTATCGAATTGGATATTCAATAACATAGCAAATCGAATATGGATTTAACAATCAAATATCCATTGGGTTATCGGATGATCGAATCGGATAATTTTTCTTAACGGATCGGATTGGATTTGGACAGATCCGCTCCATATCCGATCCATTGACAACCCTAATTGTAAGGGGAGTCACCACAGGTGTCGTTGGTGCACACGGGGCCTAGAGGCCCATAGCATATCCTTTGCATCCAAATCCCTTGGCTATCTCACATTTTTTAGTCACAATACATTGGAACATAGGTGGATGAGGTATAGCTATCACAGTTGAACCACAAGAATTGTTCTCCAAGATCGATTACTGTATTCACCTTGGCACGGTAACTGCCCATTTTGATAGAAGTATAAAATTGTAAGGTCTTGGCGTCCGTCCTTATGCGAAAGACTAGGCCATTTCGAGCATAGGAAGTAGATACAAGAATGGCAAACAACAAAATTAATGAATTGAAAAAAGCCATTGGTATTTTGTTATTGATAGAATATGGATATATTTATGGACATCCAGCAATGGCATTAAAGAAATTATGATTCGTCGAAGTTGACGTCCACAGGCTGCAACCTCCACATTTAGTTTTTGAACTACCAAAAGTGGAAGTAATAAGACTTGTCAGCTTATCTTTCCCCACAGGCTGAAACAATCATAAACTTTGTATATTTCCAAAAATAAAATTTAATTTTAGAGCAAATAACAAGAACTTTCAATAGATTTAAACTCGACTAATCAATTATATAGCTGTTATTTCTGAGGACATAGGTGCGTAGTCAAACAGTGGAATTTGTTTGATTAGCTACAGATATTAACTTGCATAATCAAAATACATTATGTTTAAAAAACGAAGTGCAAATCTGACAACATTTGATCATCTTAAAGGCGGGAACAAGTCTTGTTCTGGACTAAAAGGGAAGAGCTGAAGCGAAGTTGGGACGAGACAAGATCAAACTCGAGCAAATTATCCTCTAATTGGTATGTACCGATGACAATTGAGGTACTTGGAAAAATTGAGGTTCTTCGACTCGACCCTCCATCCACAAATGCAAGGCAAATAACATTCTTATTGACTTGGAACATCGAATTGGCACCATATATCTTCCAAGAAACATCGTTTCCCGGCAAAACTAGTTCAATTATTGGGACAGAAGGGCCCGTGGAAGTTTTGGAAATGGTGGAGGAACTGAAACATGCTCTAAACGGTGCCACTGCGTCGACACTTTTGATCTTCATGTCTGATGCTGCTTTGACAAAAGCCCTGGTCAAAGGTTTGTAGATGGAAGAATGCAGTGTAGTAAAATTTATCATGGTATTAATTTTGGTGCCTCCGACTCCATCTTTGTCAATGTTAAAGTAGGAACTTTTGACAGACAAAGGTTCTCCTTGGACTCTGATGGACTTTACATTGATAAAATATTCATCAGAAGGTTCACCCTGGACTGAAATAGCAGGGCCAGTACCCACAGGGTTTATGATGAGGGGTGTTGTGATAAGTGATTTCGACACGTCTGATTTGCTCGACGATCCTCCACCAACGTACAATTTTCCAAGCCCTGAAGATGGTAGGCAAAGAGAAAACTTATCGGGTAAATTGAGCTTATTTGCAACCTGTTTGTGCAAAGAAATTTGAGTCCTGGCAAGACCTAGTATCCCAGTTGTGCCACTGGCTAGACCCTTGGAGTAATCTGAGACTGTGCAAGCAAAGGAAAACTGGGGCACCTGAATATGATCGTTTGAGTATAATGTGTCCTCTCCATAAGTTCCACTAGGAATAAAACTCTCAAATGGGTTAAAAGGGGAGGCACCACAGGTGTTGTTAGTGCAACCTGGGCGTTGTGGCCCTCGACATTCCACCAGGCATCCAGATCCCTTGGCTATTTCACATTTTTGTGAGTTACAAGGGATTGGAGCATAGGTGGATGAGGTATAATTATCGCACTCGAACCACAAGAATCGTTCTGAAAGATCGATTACTGCATTCACTGTGGCACGGTTGCTGCCCATTTGAATCGAGGTGTAATGTTGTAAGGTATTGGTGTCCTTTCTAATGGGAAGGATTAAGCCATTTTGAGCATAGGAAGTAGATAAAAGAATGGCAAAGAACAAAACAGAGGAATTGAAAGAAAATGCCATTGGTACGAAATTATTGGATAGAATTTGTATTGCAATTCCAAGTGAGATTGCAGGGTCTATTTATGGATATCTAACAATGGCATTACAGAAATTATGGTTGGTCAAAGATGGTGTCCAGCTCAGCATTAAATATTGGAGAAAGTCAAACTTTAGACTTTTTATGGAGAAATGATACAAAAATAGGGTTAAAAATAGAAGTATGAATGGATAGTTTGAATTTTTATTTTTTGACCTTTTAAAAAAAAACTAACCAAATGCTGACTTTGTTCAACCATCATTTCTCCTTTTATGGAGTCTAAAACTATGGTCTTTGCCATTGAAAATCAATTAGCTTTAAGAATTAGAATGCAAATCTACCAACACGAGAGTTTTAAGTTCTTGTGTTCCCTGTAAACTCTTCGTCAAGGAATTATTTTTATAGTTGTGTACTACCCGCGAAAAAAATAGTCTAGCGACATTTTGAAAAACTTCCTTTTATAGCTGCGAGTTTAGGGGATGGCACAAATAAAAGTAAAAACTATGAATCATATATAATCAATTCACAAATAATTATAAGCTTTGCCAAACATGCACCAAAAATTATTTTTGCCCCCAGCACTTAAAAGTGACTTTCATATTTTTCGAGCTTAGGATAAAATAATCTTATTGTTCGGAAACTTCGGTTAGTCCATCATTTGTACATCATCATATGGATGTACATACTGGTGACATAGAAGAGAGAGAAAGAGAAATGGAAAAGGAAAAAAAAGAAAGAAAAAAGAAGTCAGTTAATATAATTTATATCATCATTATGTAAATCAATCTGGAAATCATAATGGACAAATAACATTATTTTTTTAGAAAAGTTGAAAAACGTCAATGCAACTATTGTTCCTTTTAATGGGCTTGGGCTCAATTTTTAGGGCACACATTTAGAACTTGGGCCTGTATTTCTGTTGGGTATTTAATTAAAACTTTTCGGAAATAAAAAGAGAAAAACTTCCTTTGTAAATTAAAATTGAGATAACGCCAATGATAATGCTTGACGTACAATTCCCAAAATTGATTCTCCATTGAAAACCCTTCACTGAATCATACTTGCTACTGATTCTGTCACTCACGCAAAGTTGGGTATGTATTTATTTAATCATCATGTAATCTTTTGTTCTTTTTACTTTTATCGATAATAATTGCTGTAGTGATTGATTTGTCAATATATTGAAGATTTTAAGACTTTTATTTGGTCTATTTGATGGAATTTTAACGGCGATTTCGTTTATAAAAATGAAAGCTTTAAATGAAGTTTTAATTTGTGAAGAACGTGAAAGATTCATTCTTGAAAGTTATATGTCTCATTCTTTGGGAAATTATTTTTATTTGATGATTTCTTTAGTATTTTGTTATGAAAAGGGATTTGGGATCCGATGAAATACTCCAATATCTATATTTTTTTGGCGATTTTATGGTAAGGGATTCTTGCTGTGATTTTTGTATTTTTTTGAACTTGATGTTACATATAATTTGTCATACTCATTTGCTATGATAATTGCATTATGATATCAATAAATAATTCTCTCGTTATTCCCTATAGGTGATTATGCTAAATGCAAGAAACAATATTATGCCCTTGTTTGAGCCCCATTTTTTTGGGAAGAATGGATTTTTGAATAGTGTATTGATGGGAAATGTGTGGTTAAAAAATAAATAAAAGTTTTGGATTTGCGTGTAATATTATTTTATTGAAAAATGTGTAGTTGAAATTATATCAAAATACTGTTGAAAAATATATTTTTCCACAAGAATGGGGCTCAAGGGCATGATAATTCAGGCATTTCAGCAGAACTGCATTTTTTTATTATGCATGCATCTTAAAATTAATCAGATTTTAAAATTTTTTACGAGCTTTTTGAAATTACATAATCAGAATTATACTCCTCTATTGTTGTAAAACAGGTGAAAATAATTCAATGCTTTTGTCTCTCTGAGTCAGTCTTGTGGAAGGAGGAATTATGTGTTATAGTTTCTAAAAGCTAAAAGTTTTAGTCCATGTGACTTGAATTTAGAATCCGTGATAATTTGCCATTTATTTCTGATTCTTCATGTCATCTTGTATGTAAATGTTATTGGTTTGTGTAGCATCAATACCATCTGGACAGAGAGAGAGATATAGAAGTTATAGCAATGAATGATACCATCTTCAAGGATCGCATTGCAGCATTGCTGCAAGTTATGCAAGCAACAAAAACTATTAAAGCGGATAATATTCCATGCAAGATTGAAGAGGTAGTTGTTTTTGAGCTGTTGATTCTGATTTTTAACCTCATAACTTATGAGATTGTTCTTGTACTTTATCAGGGTCTTTATTTGGGCTCTCTTGGAGCTGCCCATGACAAGAGCACCTTGAAACGCTTGAATGTCACACACATATTGACGGTTGCCCATTCACTGTCCCCTGCTCATCCAAATGATTTTATATACAAAACTATTCCGGGTAAAGAGTTGCTTAGTCGAATTTTCAAAATAGAATCCACTTTATGAAAATTTGTACAATAAACTCATTCCTTATTGTCATAAAGAAGAATTATTTGTTTCATTGCGATGGTGAGCCAAAGTGAGTTTAACCATGTTTGCCAAGCTTGAAAAGTTTACTTATTCTAGATGAGTAAATTTCAAATAATTAATTGTCATAGTCTAAAATTGTAAATAAATTATTTATTTTGATAGCAAGCTAAGAGTTACTTTCAAGATTCGCAAGTTCTTTTTATTAAGAAGTCAGAAAAAAGTAGATTATCCAAACACGTTTAGAAATATAACTTCTTAAGTAACTCCC